CTCCGAGTACGGAGTAAAGTTTTATGACCGACACCCCTGTATTTGGCAGATTCCGTAAAGCAAATTTAAAATTTAAGCCGAAAAAGTGTGCATTTTCCCGCGACGAAATAAAGTACTTGGGTCATGTAGTATCAGAACACGGAGTTAAATGTGACCCGGCGAAAATAAACGCCGTACAGAATTGGCCAAAGCCCGCAAACATAAGTGATGTACGAAGCTTCCTAGGTATAGCATCTTATTATAGGAAATTTATTCCTAACTTTTCCGATATCGCTTTTCTTTTAACACAACTTACCCGCAAAAAATCAAAAATTCCAATGGACAGACAAGAGCGAGGACGCGTTTTTAAAGCTTCGTGAGGCACTAACATCGTCCCCAATTTTAGCTTATCCCACACAGAATGATCCGTTCATTTTAGACACCGATGCTAGCTTATACGGAATAGGAGCGGTGTTGTCCCAAATACAAAACGATGAAGAACGTGTTATAGCGTATGGCAGCAAAACGTACTTTGTCTAGGTCTCAAGTAAAGTACTGTACTACTTACCGCGAACTTTTGGCTGTTGTTGTGTTCGTTAAACAGTTTAAGTACTACCTGTATGGGAGAAATTTTCTCCTCAGCACAGACCACTCTTCGCTAGTCCGGTTGAAAAATTTCAAAGAACCAGAAGGAATGGTGGCGAGATGGATATCCTTGTTAGACACGTATGACATGACCATACAACACCGTAAGGGTAGTGCACACGGCAACGCAGATGCACTTTCAAGAGTGCCTAGACGCCGATGTAAACGAGAGGATTGCCAATAATGCAAAATCAACATGTCATGCAGCGTGAATGCGATAAGCAAAGGAACTAATAATCCTTCGAAAAGTAGCGAATTACCTGACATCACTCAGTTGAACTGGGTCGAACAATGGGACAACGAGGAAATTTTAAGACTACAACAAGAAGACAGTAACCTCAGTACTGTAACGCAGTTTCTTAAAAATGGAAATGAAAAACCGGTCGTGAATACTCCTAATCAGGAGTTATCCGCCTTACTAAGACAATGGGATTTACTGTTTACTCAAAATGAGCTTCTATATCGTAAATTTTACGAAATTGACGGATCTATTACTAACCAACTGGTTGCACCGAGAGAACTGCGAAAAGAAATAATGCAACAGTTACACAATAACCGTACAGCCATTTAGGTCGCGAAAAAACCTTACCTAAGGTTCGAAGTCGGTTTTATTGGCCATTAATGACCAGTGATGTTGCTAGGTGCTGTCAAACGTGCCCGTCGTGTGCGAAACGTAAGCCTGGACCGGGAATGGGCAAATATCCTATGCAACATTGTTCCGTTACAAGTCCATTAGAATGCATTGAGATCGATATCATGGGACCCTTGCCTATGACGGACGATCAAAATGAATACATTATGGTAGTTGGTGACTACTTTTCTATATGGAAGGAGGCATACGCTTTAAAGAATCATACGGCACAATCAGTAGCGGATAAATTGACTACGGAATTCATCTGTCGTTTTGGGACACCAGCTAGAATTCATACGGATCAGGGGCAGGAGTTCGAGTCAAATTTATTTTCTGAAATATGCAAATTGTTAGGCATTGACAAGTTAAGAACTACCCCCTACAGACCTCAATCGGACGGCATGGTCGAGAGGTATAACCGTACTGCTCAAAACATGCTCGCAATGTATGTAGACGAAAATCGTTCCGATTGGGATGATCATCTTCCGTTTATAATGATGGCTTACCGTGCCGCTGTTCATGAAAGCACAAAATGTACTCCTAACCTTCTCATGTTAGGACGGGAAATACGTCTTCCATTGGACGTGATTGTTGGTTCGCCTCCAAATAAAGGCAAAATTGATTGCCCGATTAAATATATAGAGTGGGTAAAAGAAGCTATGCAACGATCTTTCTATTTTGCGCATGAAAAACTCGAAGCCAGCTTCCATAGGCAAAAACATTATTACGATGTTAAGCTAAAGCCGGGAAATTTCGCAAAGGACCAATGAGTCTGGTATTGGTATCCGCCACATGCTTAACAAAAACTAGGACTTGGCTGGACAGGGCCATTTAAAATAATAAGAAAAATTGCGGATGTCACTTATCAAATTCAGTCGTGTCATAACGCGAAAATGAAAATAGTACACGTTGACCATTTAAAAAGGGTGGAAGTAGACGGAATTGAAAATCAGTTGTTAAATGTTGATTCGTCTCTCAAAACACTATTTGAGTCTGAATCTCAGGAATCTAACGACACAGAGATAGAATCAATAGATACTTTTCTTGTAACGGATAGTGACGCAATTGGCGTTAACTACCATCAAGACTCACTTAAATACAGTTCGCGTGGTCGACTTATTCGACCCAAACTTCCATTTTCACCTTAAAAGTTCATGTACATGTATGAACCGGTGGTTAGGTTAAATTAGACGCTAGTACATTTTTTTCCTGCTTAATAAAACACATTTTAAAACAATTTTATTAGGGTGTAAACTTGTTCCTTTGACGTTTTGTAATACCTATGATATTCAGGAATGCCATAGAGTATATTTGTACATTTTTCGGTGTAACCATGGGCTATGTAACAAGAGCTTTCGGTGGTGTACAGATATACGGAATAAAATTATTACCATTATTTATGGTAGGGTTACATGACTTGACTCATGGTTTATATATTACTATATATAGTATGTGATCTGGTGGTTTAAGCAATTTTTGGCATTGAATAGTAGGAACTGCCACTCGTCCTAGGTGACCAATTTATATTCTTAAATCCTCGATTTTGAGATCTTTGTAAATTTTCTTTTCAGTATTATGGCTGACGCCGACGTTTTAGATTACGATGAGGAAGAGATGGACCAGGAAATTAGTGTAATGAACCAAGGAGGGGATATAAATGAGTCAGACAAGGTTGAGTTCTTTTTCAAGCCTAGGGGTTTGATGCAGTGTCCTGTAGAGGAGTGTGGGACAAACAAATTTGCTTCACGTACAAAATACCTCAGACATTGGGAGGAAAAACACATGGAAATATGTGTAACGTATACATGTTGTATGAATGGTTGTCAGGCAACATGTAAGAGGAGGCATGACATCAAAACTCACCTCAGCAGGATTCACGGGATTCATGATAAACTTACTTTAGAGGCATCAGTAGCTAAAATAAACAAAGTAGTACAAGATAATAGAGGATTTATTGATCCTGTATTTTGGATTTACAAGAATAGAATGGATCAGCCGGCAACACCTACAACGTCTGCTAGTACCATCATCTGCACCTCTTCCACTCCAACAGTCTCGAGAACTTCTGCATGTGTACTGTCACCTGTAACCTCAGCTCCTGTCTTATCTACCGTGTCTGCCAGTTTAACCGTTTCAACTGTACCTTCTTGTCCTGCTTCGGCTCCTTCACCTTCTGCTTCTTTGGTTGCCTCTTCTTTGACCAACACTGCAGATGATTCTGACGGACCTCAGTTTACAGTGTCTATACCTGCAAGAAAACCTGCTACCACCATAACTTTGGAGGAATATCGCCAGAGACCACATTCAGCATCTTCAGATACTTCTTTATTGTCATCCAGGAGTTTAGATACCTCTTTTGGGTATATTTCCGTTGCTTTTCAATCTTCCAGTACTCAGACCACCTGCCGTGATTTACCGCCATTTGTTGTACCTCCCATTCCTAAGGGAGAAGAAGAGCTAGAGTAATATGTAGCCTACCTTTGCAATGCTATTGACTGCATTGGTAGAACGAGAAAGGTTGCCAAGGACAGACTTGAAAGTATTAGAAAGGAAGGGACCCGCCTCGAACGAGAACGCCAGGAAAGAAGAACTGTGGAAGCGGAAAACAGAAGGTTATTGACTCGGGACCCAGTTAGCAGAATTAAAGAACAGAGATAATCTTTTCCAGGATTTGGAACAATAACTTTGAAAATTTCTTGTGCCATACTTAGTATTAGAGTAGTTAGATGTATTGACTTGAGTTCTGAATTAATATTGATATGAATGGGTAACTTAGAACTGAATTTTTGAGAAATTTGAATTTGAATTACAATGAATTGTCCAAATGTTATTTTAGATTATAATTATTAAGGTAAGTTATGACCATTTATTTTTGGTAATTAAAGAAAGGAGAGTAATGCTCTATAGAATTTTCTTTCGTCAATTTAGTGGAAAATTTTTCTCCAACTATTTTTTTTGTTTAAAGAAAAGAAAATAGAAAGGTGCGTTTTTATTGTTGTTTTTTTGTTGTTGTTGAATTTTATATTAAATATTGTTGTGTTTATATGTTATACTAATATTATGATCTATATGTTTCAGCCTTAATTGTATCTTTAGAATAATGTGGTTTCCGCATTATGTCTTAAGGGAGGGGGAATATAATGGAATTTGCTTTTATGTCACGTTTATTATATTGAAATAGCTTTTACACGACTTTATGGTCGTTTTGCTATTTGGGTGTGTCGGTCCACTTCCGATAGGACCGGCCGGGACACCCTCGTTCTGACGATGTCCCGGCCGGCCCGGTGGCCCGATCCGTGCTGCACGGAAGATTATGACCGGGAAAGCAATTGGAATAAGACGGAATCTACTGTCCGTAACTTGCTTGATCTTTGAATTCACTTTATTTAGGTGAGATACTGTTCTAACCGTACATTTAAATTATACTTGTAAATTTGATTGCTACAATTTGTAACTTGATGTGTATTTTATTCACGTAGAATAAATTATTCTAGCTTGAAAGCATTTCTTTTATTATCCAATATTCCGTGAACTTGGGAAAATCTATTCCCGTTACATTTCAACTTTCTTGTGATCTGAGACTACTATAACACATGTGTTATAGTAGTCTCAGTTGTGATCTAGTGGAAGATAAATAATTTGTTATTTTTATTGATAACTTATTTGAATAAAGTAAATAAAATCGTTTTGACTTACTAAAATTTCCTAATAGTCCGAGTTTGTTATGGGCCGAGTTATCAAATAGTCTGTGCTGTGCTTTCATCACGCGTGTGTATCTATTTTTAACCGTACTGGGATTTACTTTCGTTTTGAAAGCCAAAATTGCAGAGCTCACCAGACGGCATATTTGGGGATTCATCCTCATAGGGGTAACAGCGTATGCACTTTTCCAAAAAAAAAAAAAAAGTTACAGAATGCTAAACGCCAAATCCCGGTTTTAACTAACATGACTAATCTTTTAGGGGACAATCATTTTCAATCAATAAGCATAATTTACTTAGTCCCACATCACAAGCACTTGTCTCTGAATTTCCCCCCCCTATATATATATATATATATTAAGGTATATATAGGAAGAAAAAAAATTCAGAGACAAGTGCCTGCGGTACCAACTCATTAAGAACTGTCGGTTAATTTACCACAGGTGATTCACAGGTGCGAGATGAAAATTGTTTAGGGAGCTGCCATTTGATTTTTATGGAGGGGGTGGGGGGAGGCTAGGATGAAAAATTTTGTCCTGCATTTTTTTTTAGTTGTAATCTCTGTCCTGCCTTTTTATTTTTCACTCTATTCGGTCGTGCCTTTTTTTGGGGGGTTTATCCTGACTTTTTTTACATATATTGTCATCCTGCCTTTTTTATTTGCAAAGTGACTCATCCTGCCTTTTTTTTTACCCAAAACTCCTGTCCTGCCTATTTTTTTCAAATTTTATCCTAGCCCCCCCATAAAAAATCAAATGGTAGCTCCCTTACTCACTGAGTATATTTTCCTCTCTCGCCTGATATTAGAATGTAAACAACTATTTGTCATCATAGGGCCTTCAACAGCCAGCAAAACCATTGCACGTAAGCTATAATAGGTCATCAGGTATGATTTAATGCAGGGATACTAACGTATAGAAAGTACCTGCTTAATGTAAAAAAAGAAAAAACAAACTGCCAGACTTAATTATATGCTAAACAAAATTAGCATGATTTCCATTTGAACCCCTTACCTGTGAATTTTCTTATTCCATCAACAAGGGGGTTCAAATGGAATTTAAGTCTTTCCAAACAATAATCAAAACAACAAATATTCAGACAGCAACCAACAACAACAGAGTTTCAGCCCAGGATTTGAAAAGGGCAAGATCTTAGATGCTAATTTTAAATTGGTACTTATCTCAAAAATAGACAATTAAACATGTGTAAGAAGGTGCTTAAGTCAGTATTAAAATTGGAATTTTAAAAACCAATGAGGTTGCATATAATATTGTAATATGCATTGATATTTTTATCACTAAAACATTTTTAATGGATACAATTTAAAATCAAAGCAAGCCAAGGTGAGTATATCTACTACATGATAACAAGTTTGTGTATGAAATACACAAATTGATATTACATTAAGCTGAGGTAACCAACGTTGGGATGATTAGCTGAATAAAAAGGCAGTTGGGTGGTTCAATGAAAAGAGCAGTGCACCAAGATGGAAAGGATATATATATATAGGGCACACTGAGGGTGTTGGATAACAAATGGAGGTGCTGCACCCTATAAAAGAACACTGTACTACAGGCTACTGACCCATGCACACTAAGAATTTGGCAGGGTTAGACATGTTTGTGATTGCTCAACCCTCCCCTAACCTTATACAGTGATGTAACAGCATAGCATAAAACAAAATTTAATTGTGAAAATAAGTTCAAAGGGCTTGACAGATTATATGAGCACGAAGCACCGAAAAAAAACTACCAAAATGACAAAAACACAAGGTTGGTCTATCTAAGAGTACTTACGGTTACTGAAAGCTAGTTCAAAGCCAATATCCTTTTATAAGATATCAGCATTTAATCAAGTAATATGAAGATAAAGAAAGATTAGTTTGAATGTAGAACAAATATGATTTTATCCATTTGTACAGTTAACCTGTAAAACAGACTACCACATGAGAAAAATGTATGTTTTGGGGATGTTCTGACAACTTAAATACCTTTTGTATAATCATCCTAATTTTTCAGGTAATTTGTGGTAACTACTTGATGCCAGTTTTGTTGACTGTAGTGAGAAACTTTTGCAGAGCCATGAGTACATACACACCTGGAACACATTCTATGGCCTTTGTCACAGTACCTGATCTTGAAGTTGCCAAAAAACTCTCTCAGTATATATCTTTTGTTTTAAATCAAAGCACCTCATATTAATATACATATATATGTAGAAAATTTTTGGAAGTTTGTTTTAAATAAGCTAAACATGCTTAACTGGTCAGTTTCCTTCACAGGGCAATTATTGATGTTAGTCTTTAGATATTTGTCATCTAAACATTTTATATGGTTTACAGACCAGTATGTTTTAAGTATAGGCACAATCATGGTAATATGAAAAAAAATATATAAAAAACACTAGCTTCAGGTAAAAGAATAGGTTCACGAACGGTTAAAATTGGCTATAAGATTTATAATAAAGTTGTAATTAAAGGTCATATTTTGGCAAAAGTTAACCTATTCCTTTCTGAAGATATTAATTATCCTGTGTTTAAAATATCTGTATGTCTTATACATATTTTATATTATCTACCAGAAAAGATGCTCACTGAATTCACTAAAAATTCCATCTGCAGTACCTCTTGAATATATATGTGTCATTTTATCATAATTTTCATTTGTTAAAGGTATTTCATAAAGTTCTTTCAAAGGCAATTTTTAAATCCCTCAAAATTGCTTAGTTCTTTTCATATAATTATGTTTAAATGATACCATTCAATATTTTCTAATGGTTAGAAGTGCTGTGTCTGTATTCATAAAAAACATATTTTGAGTTATGCAACTTTGAACTAAAATGTGATTTAAGAGGTTTTAGAATGTTGTCTGGCAATTTTTTTTATAGACTTTTTTATAGACTGCCTTGGGGATAAGACATTTTCAGGATAACAACAGTGTTAACTCTGTTTTTAGCCTTTCTAATAGATTTGATGTTTGGCATGTTATCTGTCACCAAGGTCCAGAGCACTGTTAGATAAGGGGGAGCTAACTCTTATGTATTTGAACCAAGGGACAGGGGTCAGTATATTGCTAGACTTAATATTCTGATAGGCATAGCTAAAACACAAGGAAGGTTTCCATAATTTAATTAACGATAACAATTTTATAATAGAAGAATGACGATTACAATCATTTAGTAAACAATGCCAAATAATAATAATAATAATCTAATCAAGGTACAAAGTATAAAATCTAAATATTGATTCCAAAATAAAACTATTTCTCTTTACAATGTCAAAAATCAAATAAATGCCAAAACTACTTATAAAATCATAAAATGAACTTAATTTTAAAATCCAAAATGTAAAAGTCTCAAAAATGTAATAATTCTCAAATAGAAATTGCCAAAGTAAAAATGTGAGTCAGAGATAAACTTTGTCTCAGCACTACTGTCTACACCGTCAACTGGTAGACTGGTGGACAGTCTTGTAGGTCCAGTATATAAGACCTGAGTATTGAGAGGTTGCGGTTCCAAAACACTGACTGCTTTCTAAAAAAATTCTCAAAAAATAAAATGTGAGTCAAAAATAAATTTTTTCCTCAACACTACAAGGTCAACTGGTTGACTGATCGACAGTCTTACAGATCCAGTATGATAGACTTTAGCAGTGTAAATTTAGGTTTCCGAAAGATGACTAATTTTCCAAAATTTCACAATGCTGTTTTAAACTAAACCAAAAAAAATAATCAACATGACACGATATGTAAATAGTACTCTCATTAGCAAAATAGATATATAATTAAACAAAGCATAATCCCTTAATGTTTTGATAAAAACTTTAAAATATGCAGTGATAATGCTAGTGACATGCTAATTATAATTAATATTTCAAACCAAGTTACTTTAAACAAACTGTGACAAGTCGAGTACTTGCCATAGCATACATACGGTAGGTAAAATTAAACCAAAATTAATTAAAAATTTTACAAAATACAAACATAAAATTTCTTTCTAAAAATAAAACATATTTTTTATTCAAAATAACAATTACAAAAATATAAACCAAATTACAAACTATGATAAATCATGTACAATCATTGTAAACATTTAAATCCAAAAATGAAGGGAAGTTCCGTAAGCATCCCATTAAAAAATGGTGTAGGACACATGATATACCAAACATTAAAACAATATCTGCTAGAAAGGATGAAAACAAGAGTAAACAATGTAATTGTAAGAATGTCCTGAAAATTTCTTATCCCCAAGGCAGTAATTAAGTAATAGATTTAACTGTCACATGGTTTGTTTACGAAGCTAATAACCTAACATTTCTATTTTTAGTGGTAAAATTAGGCTGATGCCAGCAGCTTGAATCTACCATTACAACATTTCACTTTTCTAAGTGCCAATTAGCACCAGACTAAGACTAGCCTGATCAATTCCTAGAGTGTTTTTTTAAAAACTATCTTATTTATTACTGGCTGTGTGAGACCTGCATGGGTAGTCAAGGTCGTTAAACACCTCCTTAGAAGTAGTCTTTATTTATTGAATAAACAACAGATAACATGACCTTTATTAGAAAATAGACAAGAAGATAAAAACCATCAGAATTGAAAATAGGAAATCAGGAAAAAAAATGATGACACTTTTGATGATAAATTAATCAGAGACTTACTCAAAGTCATATCTTTAAAGCAATCAATGGCAAATAATTGAAAGCCCTTTAGCAGTTTTAAATCACCTTTAACCATGAGAATGATATATAAAAAATATAGACCATGAAAAAAAAACATCCATCCAAGGGGAGGAAAGAATTTTAGTTTGGTAAAAACCTGGCAAAATCATGACATACTGTTTTTAACATGTATGCTAATTGAGAATCTTTTACAATTGATTTTAAGGAGTATAGTTTTTTTTTGCAGTGGTATAGTGAAGAATAAGTTAGCAGCATGTGTCAATATTATACCAGGCATTACATCTGTGTAAGTAAACCATTTTAATAATGCTAAGTTCTCAGTCAGGCATTATTTCTGTGTAAAGACATCATAATGATAAAGCTGTATTTAAGGTGTCAGTTTTATATAGATAATCTTACAATGAAAGCATGAAGAAATGACAAATGAATTTCAGGGCCAATGAGTTATTGCCCCTGAAAATATATACATTTTTCCAATTTTTCACATTTTTGCTGCTGTTATATTGAAAACTATAGGAGCTAGAGGTTAAAAGTGTAAGCTTCAAAAAGGATCAGCATGAAATGATCTATTTACTCTGAAAATTTGACAACCCATTTTGAAGTTATTTTCTCTGATATGTTGATTTTTACTGATTTGGCTGTTACTATAGGAACTAGGTTTTGCATGTAAATTGCCAAAAATGATCAGCAACACAAAGAGTAACTAAAGTATGCCCATATAAAAGTCCTAAATAGCAAACTGTTCATTTTTTTTCACCAGGTGATCAATGCCTCTCGTTTTTTTTTGTTTTTGTCATTTGAATCTACTATGTTTTAATTGTAGCACATTGTTAAGGAACTTTATATTTGCTTTCTTTTGTCGATAGCTTTCTCATTTGCACTTTTATGTTATCTCCGCCATTCTCCTTGTTTTTAGCTGCTTCTTGTGTAAAAAAGTATTTCATTTGATCAAACTTTTATAACAAGTTTTGCAGCGAATGGAAAAAAAAGATGTGTTTGTATAATTAAGATATTAACACTGACATGACATATGATATGGACATATACATGGAATTATTGAAATAATTCATTTTTAGAAACAAATTTTTTAGAAAATTACAAAAAAACTCTTCATTAAAAAAGTTTTATACTAATAAGGAAAACATTTTCAAATAAATTATATGTTTTTGTTAGTTGATGCACATTAAGTGTAATTTTTTCCACCATGAAGACAATAGGCAATGATTTTGACATTATTCTATCAAGAATATTTAAAGAAATTCCTCTTTACACATATAACAAAATAAAATGTAATTTCAGTTATGAATGGGAAGAGAAAATCAATGAAGATGGTGAACTGTTATTGGTAAGTTAATTGATCCAAGTGTTATTGAAAACCAAGGACACATATTTTTAAATAATATATACACCCTTGTTATTACACTGTCACAGCTAGGGATAAAATGTGGTCAGAACAAAGGGATTACAGCAGAGAACATTGAAAAGGTCATTCATTTGTTAACTTATTGTGTTGTAAGATATTGGTTATAAATACTTTTAATAAATTGATAGCTGATTAAATAATAAAATTGAGAATGGAAATGGGGAATATGTCAAAGAGACAACAACCCGACCAAAGAGCAGACAACAGCTGAAGGCCACCAATGGGTCTTCAATGCAGCGAGAAAATCCCGCACCCAGAGGTGGTCCTCAGCTGGCCCCTAAATAAAATTGTGTGCTAGTTCAGTGAAAATAGACATCACACTAAACTCCAAAACATATAAATGAACTAAAATTAAAAAATATACAAGACTAACAAAGGCCAGAGGCTCCTGACTTGGGACAGGCACAAAATGCGATGGGCTTAAACATGTTTTGTGAGATCTCAACCCTCCCCTATACCTCTAGTCAATGTAGAAAAAAGAAACACGGTATCACCTTGTCGTCGTCGTCGTCTTCCGAAGACACTTGGTTTCCTGACAATAACTTTAGTATTAGTAAATAGAAATCTATGAAATTTAAACACAAGGTTTATAACCACAAAAGGAAGGTTGGGATTGACTTTGGGGGTTATGGTCCTAACAGTTTAGGAATAAGGGGCCAAAAAAGGGGCCCAAATAAGCATTTTTCTAGTTTTCAGACAATAACTTGTGGAACGGTGTATGGATCTCTCTGAAATTATACAAAAAGTTTCCATACCACAAAGGGTTGGTTAGGATTGGCTTTGGGGGGTCATGGCTCAAACCGTTTAGGAATTAGGGGCAAAAAAGGGTGAAAAACAAGGGTTTCCTTGTTAATGGACATTCACTTTTAAGTACAATGTTAAATTTGGATCACCTCCCTTACACTGCTTTAAAATTATGTATAAAGAAATTTTGTATTGTCTTTAGGTGATTAGCTGTCAATTTATTTTTAGAAGTTACTAATAAAAATGCTGATTAAAGATATATTATTTTTAGACATGATTATGTATGTCATTTTCTATTTTAAGATTTTTATGATGTATTTGAATGGGTAATTATGGTTGCAAACTCCATTGGAAACTTGAATTGAGATAATGACCATATCTTGAGGGAAAAAAATTTTTGGGGAAAAAGGGGAGGGGGAGGGGAGGTGAAAAAGAAATTGTTGGGGGGGGGGGGGGGACATTTTTTATTTCTCATTACAGATTTCAGAAATTAAAAAGAAAATTTCTTCAAATATTTTTTTTTTTGCAAAAAAAAGGGGTGGGGTGAAAAAAAAAATTTTTGCCCTAAAAAAAGGGGGTGTCAATTTGCAACAGCATAGTGTATTGCACAAAAGCAAAAAAAAAGGAGGGGGTAAATTTTATTTTTTTGGGGAGGGGAGGGGGGTTGCAAGTCGCAACAGCAGTGTGTATTGCACAAAAGCAGAAAATTGAATATAGATTCAAATCTCATAACCAATTCTAAGTTCTTTGACTACAGTTATTCTGTGTCAGAAACCTATTATGTGTCAAACATTTAATTTCAATCCAAATTCAGACCTGTATCAAGCATGAATATTGTGTCCATTTTTGCCCCAACTGTTCCGGGTTGGACCTCTGCAGTCGTTTCCAGCTGCGCTTGGCGAAGCAATTTATTTTTTGCTGTACTCACCCAGTCGCATTATTCACATTAAATAAAAACTCACAATAATTTCTGAATTTACAGTACTCAAAAATTTATGAAAGCAACTCCACAGAACTCGTATATCCAATACCTCTCAATTTTATAACTTTGTTTTTTTCATAATACATTTGTAATAATATTCTGTTGTAATTTTTGGTCAATGTTTTTTGTTTTTTGCAGAAGTTATTTCTTTTTAACATTCATTATACATAATACCATGTCTTCATAACTCTGAAGATCTCATTGAACTGATAGACACCATATTTACTAATAAAGAGGAATCTAGGGTATATGTAAATGAGACGCCAACTAGATTAAGCTTATACCTAAAAGACACCTTGAAGTAAACATGCAGCCTTCTAATTAGACATGTATCTATACAGTGTGTCAAGATTAAAATCTCCTCAGTCCAAAAAACGTTTTGAATAAATTAAGTAGAGACATCTACCATCAACACCAATGCATTGTAATGTTTGGATCCATCTACAATTTATATGAGGTATATTGCTTTTTGATTGTTGATGAAAAGGGACAATGTTACTTTTTTATTAAGAATAAATTGCTCTTTTCAAATTATGGAAAACCTCACAGACTCAAATAAAAAATGTTTTATTTGGGTTTGTAAAGAAAACTGAGTCTTTTTATTTAAGCATATTTGATTTTTTAGATGATAAAAACAGCAACAGATAAAGTTGATGACATATCCAAGTTTGTAAGGTATATATAATGAAATTTATGATTATGAACTTTTTACCTCATCTTGTCCACAGATCATTTTAGCTTTTGCAATCACCTTGGGTGTTTTGTTAATGATGGCATAAAATTGAATAACCTTCACTTTAACTTGAATATAGAACATGAGTTCAGTCATCTATAGACTTGATTAGTTCTTGGTTAAAGCACAATTAGTTTATATGTACTAGTAATATGTCATTGTCAAATCTCATACAATTGATTGAGCTTGTTGTCATAATGGACTATAAAATGTGTGTGACTGCTGAAAGCAAAAACCTTATTAAATTTCACAGTAAGTGATGGATCAGCATAACAACCTACATAATAGACACAATATGACTTGTGTTGCATTTGAATGTTATCAAGCTTCATATGAGAGTCCGGATGGGTGGTCCTTCAATTCTGTATTCTTTAATTTTTTAGCCTGAGTTTTCTCTAATTTTTAAAAATTTTGCCTATTATTCTCTATTCTTCTTATTTTAGAACCCCATTTTATCTTTTCTTTATTGTTTTATCCTATTTTCTTTTTTTATTGTCAATATTTCTGTAGATTTAACCCATCATTCTCTATTCTGTAAACCCCATCCAGACCCTCTCATATTGTGAAGCATAAGTGACTATAATTATACATAAAAAGGAAAACAGGAAATACTAAAAATAATGGATAGCACAACAGACCACACTAACTACCAACACCTGACTCCTCAGAAAAAAGATGTACAAATGAATACAAACAACAATTAAGGGTAAACAGAACAGCTAAAGGGAGTTAACTCTGTAAAAATCAGCTGAACGTTTTAATCACATACTATTAATAAAGAGAAATCAAGCTTCTCAATGATCAAAATTAGTGTTTGTCAAACTGCTACATATCCAATGAAATTATTCCTGTAAATTGTGTGGTTCAAATTTCTTGAAATTTTTATATTTTTGTCAACAGGTCAAAGTAAATGTTTTGTCAAAATTTTACGAAAATTAAACAAGCCAAATATATTGGTCCAGATAGCTTGGCTAGATACAGGGACAAAATGCAGCAGATTTATAACAGTTTTAGGTGTGCAAACACCTGCCCCTTTTACATATCTATACCATATGTTGTGAAGTAAAACACTATAAAAAAAAACCTGCACAGTCCAGCTACCAATAGGATGACCACTAACTTGAACAAGAAAATAAAAGACGGCAAACTAAAAATATGCTCGCTACTACAGAAAGCTAGCTAAGCTATCAGTTTAAAGATCAAAGGTTAAAGTCAAGATAACATGTAATCATAGAACTGAATACCATTCAAAGTTAAGTGTGATTGAAATAAAATGTAAGAGCTCTTTTTTGAATTGCCTAAAAATCTTCATTTTTAAAATCAGTTTGATAGGGACATGTATGACATGCTCACATTTTTTTTAATCCATCCAAAAGTGAGTTGTATTTTTTACGAAGCAACTTCCATGCGTATAAATTATAGAACATACTTAAAAAACATTGACTACATGGTGATACATTATATATAATTAAGTCAACAAGTTTCACAAACTTACTAGACAAATGAAATTACCAGAAGTGACTATATATTTTGGATCATTTAAGCGTTTCAGAAGGAGTGAAATTAAGTAACAAGCATAAAAAACAGCAACGTCAATATCATTATAAATTTACTACAACTGGGTTGATACTACAGCTTGTATACTATTTGTTGACTAAATCTCAAAAGAGCAGACTTATGGAAAAAATAGAATTACCACCCAGCATTGTATATCAGATACTGCAGACTTTCTGTAGGAATATATTTTTACATTACTAGAACTCAGTTATGGATGCAGTGAGAGTCACAGTATGATCATTGATTTATAATGTGAATGCAGAACTACATAAAGATGTCTAATTGGCACTCAAAATTATCATTTAAATTCTTGTAATCAGTCATGTGGATCAGGGACCTGGGTTAAATTATTTACTAGTACAGATGGTTATTAAATTTGATAATGTTGTAAGGGTTTGACAAGAGACAATTTCCAATCCACTTTTGTGTGACCCCTTATTTACCAGAGATATTTCATGAACATATTTTAACAAATGACATGATGGATGTCACTAGTGGAGCAGGAGCAGCTCACCCTTCTGGAGCACTGACTTCAACCCCAGTGTCTGGTGGAGTTTGTGTTGTTCAGCATTGAGTTTTATGTGTACCTTTTTTTGGACTGTCATTTGTCTGTTCATCTTTTTACTTTTGGTCATGGTGTTTGTTATTAATTACAACAATGCATTAACATTGATCTTAACACTAGTAAAAAAAAAATTTTGATATTTACATATTAATTTTTTTCAGATTTGTAATTTATAAGTTATAGAATATATTATCTACTTTTGTTTATTTTTCTGTAGAGAAAATCATCCATATGATTGTGCAGAGGTCATAAGTTCAAAGGTAAATATGCTTTATTTGTTATTATTGAGGCATCAAATTTCAAACAATCTGGAAATATTTTATCCAAATGTATCATGTAATACAGATTCAATATCTAAAAATTATGTTGTCTGTTAATACTAGGACAAATAACTACACATTATGAGTTTCATTGACCAGTTCTTCAAAAGATAACATTGCTCAATGTTCATACAATTTTTATCAAGAATATGAATAGAAAGATTAGTCGGGTACACTCTAATGAGACAATATTTACAAAAAACCTAGATCTAGAATCAACATTTTATCCTTAACAATAGATTCATATCATTACATTGAACTGACAAAAGTTTAAATACCATGACCAAGAGGAGATGACTCTGTGGAAGAGTTTCATTTGGTTAGCAATAACCCTTTTTTCCCTGGATCTTAAGCAGTCAACCACTTTTTTATACGCCCGTCAAATTTTTGACGGGACTTATTATGTTATACAAATGTCCGGCGTCCGTCCGTCTGTCTGTCCGGCATCAACATGTCGCACCGTAACTTGAGAATGACTTATCCAAATTTCATGAAACTTAACATAGTTGTTTCTTATGATGGTCAAAAGAACTGTATACTTTTTGGTGAAAATAAGATAAAAACTTTTTGAGTTACGGGACTTAGTAACTAAAACAGGTGTGTGTTTTTTTTCACATGTCGCGCCGTATCTCAAAAACAATTTATGATTATTGCTTAAAACTTTACACACTTCTTAGTTATATTAATCTTGAGATCTGTATACTTTTTGGTGATGATTCAAAATTTTATTTAGAGATATTGAGTATTTTGTTAAAAAAGGGGGAGGGGTTTTTCACATGTCGCGCCGTATCTCAAAAACAGTTTATGATTATTGCTTAAAACTTTACACACTTCTTAGTTATATTAACCTTAAGATCTGTATACTTTTTGGTGATGATTCAAAATTTTATTTTTGAGTTATTGAGTATTTTGTAAAAAAAAGGGGGAGGGGTTTTTCACATGTCGCGCTGTATCTCTAAAACGATTTATGATTATTGCTTAAAATTTTACACACTTCTTAGTTATATTAATCTAAAGATCTGTATACTTTTTGGTTTTGATTCAAAATTTTATTTTTGAGATATTGATTTTTTTTTTTTTAAAAGGGGGGGTTTTCACATGTCACGCCGTATCTCAAAAACAATTTATGATTATTGCTTAAAACTTTATACACTTCTTAGTTATATTAATCTTGAGATCTGTATACTTTTTGGTGATGATTCAAAATTTTATTTTAGAGATATTGAGTATTTTGTTAAAAAAGGGGGAGGGGTTTTTCACATGTCGCGCCGTATCTCAAAAACAGTTTATGATTATTGCTTAAAACTTTACACACTTCTTAGTTATATTAACCTTAAGATCTGTATACTTTTTGGTGATGATTCAAAATTTTATTTTTGAGTTATTGAGTATTTTGTAAAAAAAGGGGGAGGGGTTTTTCACATGTCGTGCCGTATCTCTAAAACGATTTATGATTATTGCTTAAAATTTTACACACTTCTTAGTTATATTAATCTCAAGATCTGTATACTTTTTGGTTTTGATTCAAAATTTTATTTTAGAGATATTGAGTTTTTTGTAAAAAAAAAAAGGGGTTTTTGCATGTCACGCCATATGTCAGAAACTATTTATGCTTATTGCATAAAAATTCACACACAAGACGAAGGGCGTATCATGCGCTCATGGCGCAGCTGTTTATTTTTAAATGTTGACAATATATGTACTGGATATACCATTCTCTAATTTTAGGTACATTACTTCCAAAGATAAGATAATAGGATGATATAACCAATATATACAATAGTTAAAAACAATAACGTTTTCAACTTGCCATAAATAAGTGAATAATTTAAAATAAAAAATAAACTGACATTATTAAGGAATTGTTATATCACATTAAGTAACTGAAACCTGCTACCATGATCAAATCTTCAAAATAAGTCTTTATTGATATTGTATTATAATTTTATCAAAAGACTTGAATCTTTTTATGTGAGGTGAAATATACTGTTATACATCCTACAGAATGTTTTATGAACACTTGTTTATGTATAAATGATCATTACCAGTACCAGTTTATTTGATCTCTGCTCTACTTTTCTATGAATTTATAGAACTCGATCCTTTAATCATCTTTGTCATGTTGTAATTACGGAAACCATCAAAGTAATAATACAATTTAAGTATTGTTTGAAAAAATATACTGTTTTTTTTATTCCAGAGGATTTATCTATAGTTTTTCATCATTGTCAAAGTTCATTTAAAATTAATTTTAATATGAACTTAAAAACACTGAAGATTGTAAATTTGGAACTTTTAAATGTATTAAATGATTTGATGATATATTAACTTAATTATTTAACACACTGTACAATGTTTTGAGTGTCTTGACTAAATTTGTATCTTTACAAAAGATGTAACAAGTTTGTTTTTCTCTCTCTCTGAAACAAAGAGGAATCTGAAATTGAAGGATTAAGTAGTTTAACTGTCATAGTTTACTAACAGTTTATAAAAAACTTTAAGATTTACAGTCTATGAAGATAAAATAAATTAAAAAATAAATTAAAAGATAAAGTTAAATGGAAGATTTGAAATCTTGAAATGTTATTTTTTTATTTTCTAATTTCATATTTAGTTAGAAAGTTGGGTGGAGAATGAGGTTGAAGGCTTTATCTGTTTGGAACCCAATGTTTTTGTTATTCTTTTTCAAGTTATGAATAATTAGATAAAAACATGTTCCTTAGTTTCAGTTTTTATATAAAATGATTTATAGCCAATCAAGGATAATATATTACAAAAAATTAATGCTTCTTTACTTTTTTTTAGATTGATAATGGTAACCCACCATATCTGAAATGGATCAGTGATATTGTAGGTGTATCTGACAAGAAACCAAAGCTTGACAGCTGACTCTGACAATATGCAATTGAAAAGGATGTTGCATGTTGTGTAATGAATAAATCATGCTTCAAAATTATTGTTCAATTTGTTTTAGGCCCATGCCACTAAGTGGTTGAGGCATATTGTATTACTTTTGTCCATGATAATGTTATTTTCTTCTTTTTAATTCAAACAGTGGTTTGTTATTCCCCGTGGGGGTTTTCATTTTTTAATTAGATGTCTGATATATGTAACAGTGAATCTTTACAGTGTAAATATTCCCTGAAGTAATTTGATCCCCAATGCATGTGTTTCAGTTCTGACAAAATGAACACACTAGTGTTAAGAAGGAATACACTTTTTATTTACATGAAAGTTAAGCTTGTATATTCTCAACTAACTAGGGAATATGAGATAAGTTGTTTTGCATGTATATGAAGATTAAAGTTACTTAGAGTCATTATCCTTAAGTGTGTTTATTGGGAGATCAATGACTTTGCTTGACATGTTAGTTAAGAAGTTGTGAAAGGCATAACAATTACAATTGACACTTGCTGAAATTAATGGGGGGAATATTTCGTATTGATTGTATTCAGTATCAAATTAACTAACTTTTAAGTATGCAAATGAAATGTCGACAAGCCACCTATGGCATTATTTATAGATTTCAGTTTTAAATGTAATGTTTGAATAAATTTCCTCACAAATCTGGAAAGCAAGGTTGTAGAGATTAAGAAGAGAATAATATTATTTAAGATGGAGCTTTAATGTAATCATTCTGTGCTCCTTAATGTTTCATACTTTAAACTTGATAAAACTGATCTGACAATACTAAATAAGTAACTTACGTTTATTTAGAATAACAGATAAGCTTGAAAAGCTAATATTTTATTTCTGGTTTTTTTCTGGTTAAATGTATAAAAGTATTTTGTCAACAGAATAACACATACGCTTGAAAAGCTAACATTTTATGTCTGTTGTTTTTCTGGTTGAATGTATAAAAGCATTTTGCCAATAAAATATGCCAAATATAACGTGTTGTTGCATTTTATTTTAAGGGGCCTTGAATTTAATATTCATATTCATATCTTAAATTTCAATATTCTATTGTGTGATGTTTTACCACCAATTATGACTTCCCAATGCATTGCAACAAGTTACTAAACATGCGTGAATAGCTGTGTATGAGCTACTTACCCTTGGGAAGCACACGAGATTGTCCCAGGGGTTTTAGTGGAGGTAATATTCAATCATTAGTTATCTGTTAAGAGAGAACCATTGGAACAACTCTGAGATGACAACAAGGGTCCCTCTTATTTCCAATGTCAGTTTTAAAAACTTTCCCGCCCTTCATTTTAGTAGATGACACATTGAAAACAAAAAGAGATAACGAACCAATTTTATTTATTGTTATCCTGAATATAAATTGAAATATTTACCACCGGATGTGAGACCAGCCGAATCCGTTTTCTGTGTTTTGTTTTGGGGGCTATTGTTTTCTTTTTTGTCTTTTGGCCTGCCCTTCAAAGACACTTCTTAGCGGTTTTACCTTCAACCTTGAAAACTATAAAAAAAAAATAGACAGAAATTATAAACAGCAAAATAAATGGTCAGCAATACAAGATTTACAATTTTAAAAGACTGAAACCATTTTGTATCAACTTGACTAAGAGTTATTGCCCTGAAATGACAATTTTTGACACAGTTAAACATTTTTGCCTTCTATATATAGGTGGCCGAGTGGTTTAGAGCGCTGGACACGGTGCAAGGCGGTGTTGGCTCGGACGATATCAGTGGCGGATCCAGAACTTTTCATAAGGGGGGGCCTGCTGACTGACCTAAAGGGGGGGGGGGGCGCTCCAGTCATGCTTCCCTATATAATCAACCAAATTTTTTCCACGAAAGGGGGGGGCCTGGGCAAATTTAACATTGTTTTGCTGATACTTAGAGTAATTATGAATATAATATGTGTTTTCAGCCGTGTATCGCCTTTACTGGTGATCCAATGGATGGATCTCTCGTAGAGTTGTCACTTGTTTAGACGTACTTACCAAATAATTATTTCTGTGACTGCATCTTACGATAGATAATTTAGCTAATCTGCAATCAATTCCATCTTCATGCCTAATATATCATGTACTGTGTTACAACTCTAGATTCTACTGACGAGAAAAGGTAACACTAGGCCACCGAAAGCTGAATTTTTTAGTTCAGTCTAGGTGGCCGAGTGGTTTAGAGCGCTGGACACAGTGCATGCGGTGTTGTCTCGATATCTCATTAGCATGAGTTCGAATCCTGGCGAGGGGAGAAAAAAAATTTGCAGATTTAACATTGTTGTGCTGATATTTAGAGTAATTATATATATATAAAATATATATAGAGAGACACTGCAACCAGCAAAAATGAGCAGTAATACAACACGATCTATACAAAACGTCTTCTCATAGTTTTTGCCTTTAGAATTACTATTGTTGAAAATCTTGAAAATTAGAATAAATTGACAAAAACTGTAAACAGGAAAAATGATCAGTAATACAATCTTTATTTAAGGTACAGTAAAATAATTTCTCATATTCGTTGGTGTCTACAAGCCTCTTGTTTGCACTTATCGTGAAAACTATAATTAATAGATATAAATTGTAAACAGCAAAATTAATCAGCAAAATATAACCAACAAGAAGGTTAACATAATGGTTATCTTCAATCCACTCTTTATAGCAGTTATTGCCCTTAAATGAAGATTTTAACTCATTTTTCATTTTTGGCAACTAGAATAGATCGAGAGAAAAACTGTAAAAAGTAAAAATGTTCAGCAAAATAAGACCTATAAATAAATAGAAACATGACTTTGATCGTTAATTGACCTCTTATAAAAATTATTGAAATTAAATGACAAAAATTCTCGATGACTGAAAAATAAACTATTAACTGATTCTTTATAGGAGTTTGCCTTCAAATGGAGATTTTTGACAAAGGTTGGCATTTTGCTTTTCTCTCGAAAAATGTCAAATGACTAAATATAGTACTTATTGCCCGAAGAATAAAGTTTTTTAGACAAAATTTTAGGTAAATTGTTTATTATTTGAAAACAATAATTATAGATAGACAAAAACTGTAAACAATAGAAATGATCATCAAAACAACATATAGGAATGTGTGACTGAGTCGCATGACCCATTTGACTTTATTTGAAATATTGCCATTTATGAAATATTTTTATGACACGAGGGATTTGGATAATTTTTTAGAATTGATAAAATATAAACATGAGACTTAAATGAAAAAAATTGAAAAACAAAATTGGTCATGAGTTTTACCGATTTTTTTTATAGTGCCACTTTATAATAAGAACAGTACACAAAAGACATCTCACTATAATCGGACGCGCATTTATTTAGTCGTTACTCGTACTTCTAAATGCCGCGTCTTTGGCGGAAAAGATTAAAAAACTAATTTCAAAGTTCTGCTTTACTCGAGGATTTGACCTGGCTCGAGGATCGATCAACGACCTCCTGCTCTCGAAGCAATTACAAAGAAACCATCTGTTCGTTTACCATTGCACGAAAAACACGAATGAAATACATCTACAATAAAAAGTACTGCAGTCAAGTATGTATGCACATAATGATGTGGTATGCCAAAACATATTGATATGATATGATATGATAATATTGGTTTTAGAAATAAATTAGTAAAAGGCTATCTACTATAAATGATAATAATACTTTATAAATTTCATTCTTCCGACGCGCTTTTATGGATTTACCTTTTTAAGAACAATCAAGCCCAAACATTTGAAAACCAAAGCATAAATGTCTAATGAAAGATGAATTTAGATAATATCCACCTTTGATCTATAGTTCGCTTTTATTTGACCATTAAATACTTTTTAATTCCTGCGTCACTGATGAGTCTTTTGTAGATGAAACTCGCGTCTGCAGTACAAAACTATAAAGCTGGTATTTTTTATGAGTGTTTTTCTATGTGTTTGAACTATGTCAACTTTTGAGATCCGCCTTTGATAAAGGTGTTTGAGCTGTGTCAATAAAAGATTTCAAAAGTTCTTTTCACTACAAATAAAATGTGTTAACTGAAATTATTTCATTATGTAAAATTGGCTATGTAATATATGATGCATATACTAGATCAGATAAGTCTACGGAAACTTCCCGCTTATTAATAATCATTCATCCTACAATTGTATATCCTATCTTGTACAGCAGATCAATGTTTGTAGATCTTGTATCACTAAGTAAATAGCTGCAGCATATTAATCCAAGACCTGAATTTTCTACGAAAAAATTATAGTTACGTCTGCAGTAATATTTAAGGGTATAGCATTTATCTTTTTCTCCTGTATCATTTCATGAACAAATTTGTCCGTTTGAATGTCAAATATCACATGACTCGACTGTCAAGGTCAACTGGGAAAAGACTTATTTTATATAATGGCCAATGTGCATATAACGATACATATCTAGTGTAAAAACCATATGCACACGTTGTATATTTTCATTAACAGTCAAAGGCAAATTTGCTTATATGCATGTTTACAATCACATGTAAATTGACACCATATGAACGGGGCTTTACAAAAGCTACCTAAAGACGTTTTTGTTTATTAGGGTTTCCTCGTTAAATATCACGAAGAGCTGTAGTCTTTTAGGAATAGAATACTTTAGATGTATTTGGCAAAATCTTTATGAATTTTGGGTACTCAATGCTCTTCAATTCGTACTTTACTTGACCTCTTCAGCTTTTTTGATTCGAGCGTCACTGATGAATCTTTTAAAGACGAAACGCGCGTATGACGGAAACATGTTTACGCCTGGTATCTATGATGAGTTTATTTACTATATTCTGTAAAGTGTTAATTTATGAATAAATCAAACATGATATTCTTCAAGTCTAAACTATTTACGCAAAAAGGGTAATATCCAACAAAGGAATCATTTACTCAAAGGGAAAAACGGAAAATAATAAACAAACAAAATCACGATAATAAAAAAGCAAACTGCATGAAAAAAGCAAAAGAAAATAAAAAAGCAAAATGCAAAAAAAATAATAAAAAAAATAGGGGTATGAATAGATAAACAAAAATCGTCTAAGTTCATTTTACATTAGGGTTTTGCGACCTTAGTTTTAACATAAGTACACGATTTTATGAATTCGGAAATTAACAAACAATATTTATTATTTAATTCATGCCAGTACCGAAAATAGCTCAAATGGGAAAAAATGGCTATTCATTTCGTCAAATTATATGGCGAGTGTCATTAACTTATTAACTTTCTAGTTTATCATGTAAGTAAAATTATGAACATATCATGAAAATAAGATGTAGTATTTTAGCCAATGAGATGACCATCCACCACAGATAATCATCCACCAGAGACAATCCACCAGAGACAATCATCCACCAGAGACAACCATCCACCAGAGACAAGAAGATCAGGATGTTTACAACCATAGGGAACTGTGTTGCCTTCAACAATGAACACACCCCATACCGCATTGCAAGCTATAAATGGCCCTGACCTGAAAAATATGAAACAATTTAAAAGGGAAAAAACTTAGCTTATTAACAAATTATACCAGACGAACCCGCTCGGAAATTAACATTGAAGATGTGAGTTTAAGAACATTGACTCAAAGATGAATTTATTGTTTCATTACTTTCAGTTAAGAAAGGTACATTCCCAGTTCATCCCAATATGAGTGCATTTTTGCGACTGCAACGTACTGTTGTTGGATTTAAAAATTGACGACTTCTAAACCTGCTGACTGCACCAGTGCAAGTTCCCCATTCTTATGTTATCCGACTAGCGACGGTATTCCTGGTGCTAGAAATCGACTCGGATGGTGGACTAAGAACTAAGCTTGACGACAAAAAGATGATTCCAGCTTTCCATTTCTATGAAGCAACTTTCCAACATTGCCTGCATATTGCGTATTCATCCCCTAGCTTATACGATAAATCAGATCTTGCTTAATTATCATAATGTTCTTGATAGAAAGTTGCTGCTAACAAAAA